CAATGAAAATACTTGTTCAAATAATAACTTGGACCAACTAATGTTATATACAAAGCTTTGCCAATCATTAAAAAAAAAAACTCTTAATGGACAACAAGGCCAATCATAGGAATTGTGATTCTTTAGAAGGTCCACAGGGCAATCAACAGTGTGTAATTCACGAAGTCTCTTAAAACCCACAGACAGAATATGGTTAGGAACTAATACACAGATGTACAAATATGCAATCTGAGGAAAAGCAACTGTAGGCTGTTTCTTTGCACTAAAACATGTTGGCTGTATTTTGGAACATCCCCAAACAGTTGACAGTCACCTTCATTATCTTTCCCAACGGAGCAGCTGCAGATTTTACATTGTGATGGCATCACAGGTCTTATTTGTCTGGTACTAGCATAGGCAGAACCTAAAAGGAGAGCTGTATCTCTTCCTATTATTGACCACTTATGTTGTTGTTTCAAGTTAGCTAGCTAGCCAACGTGAGCTAGTGTGGTAATGGTAAAGGATGATGATGTATTCAATGACTTCTGCAAAATGGTGTTCTCAAACAAAGCCATAGCGTGAAGTTACCTTAACACATTTCTTAGTAAGTTCAATAGAATTAATTCAAGAATTATTCAATTGTTAGCTAAGTTACTGTAGCTGCTCATTAGCCGCCTAGCAGCAACACAAGTAACCTGCTGCTAACGTTAGCTGCAGAAACACACGGGTGTTACTCACAATTCAAAGATGTTAACACATCCTGACATTTGTCCATCCCTTAAATACAATTTTGCTTCCAACAGCAACGTTATTGGCTGAAAAAGCTGCGTTTACGGGTGAGCTGAGAATGAATGGCGAATAGGAAGGAGCCATCCAAACTAACGTAGTAGCTGTCAGTGCCATCCACGACATGCTATCCGACCAGCAGGCTACCATCAATGATTTACTGGTTTTAGTGTCACCTGTAGTTGTTGATATTCCTCGTCCATTTCCTCCCACTCTGTCTGAAACCTCGGCTTGGACATTGTGGCACAGCAGCTGATGTATGAAGGAGGATGGCTCCACTAGCTGGCTCTCACCCAGGGTCTGACTGTCTGCCCACTCAGGAGGAGCCTTTTTAAACGGGCTGCAGGGCGCATGCGCACCACTGTGGTTAAACCATAGGTTGAACACTGTCTATGGCAGAGCATTAAACTAATAAAATACACAGAGGTGGAAGAAATACTCAGATCAGAATACTCTGTTACAAGTACAATTTCTGCATTCAAAATGTTAGTTAAAAGTACAAAAGTATTGGCATCAAATTATATTTAAAGGACCAAAATTAAAAGTACTCATTATACTCATTTCTTATCATATAGGCCTATTATGTTTTTTTTAAAATTATAAATGTTGATGCATTAAAGTGTTAGTAAAGGTGCAACTTATTTTATGTACTTTGTATGCTGCAGGGTAGTTTCTGAATTTGACTCCAGGTGTAAATAAAGTCAGAGTTTAGTGTTGATTATATTCCATATCATTAATCCAAATCTGCAAAGTAACTAAAGGTACAAAATAAATGTAGTGGAGTAAAAGTACATCATTTACCTCTGAATTGAAGTGGAATAGAAGAAAACAAAATTGAAATTCTCAAGTAAGTACAAGTACCTCAACATTTTACTCAAGTACAGTACTTGAGTTTTGTACTTGTACCACTACATTTTGTTGACACATTTGTACTTTTTACTCTACTACATTTATTTTACAAATGTAGTTACCTTATAGATTTAGGTAATAGCCTACAAAATATAAATCGACACATACATTATCATATATTATTATAGGCTAAGCTACCAAGTAGTGTTTTCCAAATACATTTTTTTTTTACCAAGTGCAAGACTGCATTGATGGAGGCATTAATGTATCAATAATTTTAAAACAAAATATCTGGTTTTTAAATGTCCCATTCTGCATAACTTTTGGTAGGCCTACTTCAAGTATTTTGATGCCAATACTTTTTTTACTTGTACTTAAGTACACATTTGAATGCAGTACTTTTACTTGTGACTGAGTATTTATACACTTTAGTATTGTTACTTTTGATTTAGTAAATCATCTGAGTACTTCTCCCTCCACTGCTTATCTCTTATGTTTTAACATTCACACTCGGCATCAACTAGACTAGTACACAATTCTGTTGCTAGGATACAGTGAATGCTGTTGCAGTCCCCAGCTAGGAAAGTTTGTGCGGCTAGCCGGGTTAGCTAATATGTTTTTTCATTAATTCGGTAGTTACATGGCCTGAGTTTACAGGCGGATTGAGTTTAAGTAAATCATCCGCTTGGACACATCGCTAAGGTACAAGTATCATCCTAACGTGGTCGTTGTCAATTAAACTGTATAGAAGCTAACGTTAACTAACACCATTAACTAGCTAGTTATTATGTTAGCATAAAATGTGCTTGTGGCTAACCTGCTCATTTGAAAATATTTTGTTGAAGTATTCTAAATGCAGTGGTTGGACAAAAATGTAGGCACTTTACCGAGGATTAAGTAGTAACAACACAATGTATAAATACTATGTTACTGCTAAGAGTCCTGCATTCAAAAGAGTTTCAAAATCAAACTCAATAAAAATCAAAAAGACTCTTAATGCAGAATGGCCCATTTTTGATTCATGTATATTTTATGACTGGATTATTGGTAATGCATTAATGGGTTATTCACTGTTATTTTAATGAACATCAATAGAGAACAGAATATAAAGTACAGTACTTACTTTTTTCATGTTTTTGCATGATCTATTTTTATCAGCACTGCTGAAATCATGTATATCCCATAAAATATATAAAAATGCTTTAATTATATGTAGTAACATGTGAATATTGTGTTTTGTTTGTTGTTTTAAGTTTAAACAATTCTGTATTTTGGTAATTTTTTCTCAAATATTCACACATTTCTGTTTATAAATTGTATATTCAGCATGAAATAAAGAGCAATGTGTTGTTATTATAGTTTTAAAAGGTCACTCCTAGGTTTACTGCTTCATGGTTGTAACATGTTATCTGACTATGTTACAGGGTTTTCATCAAGCTACGCCCAGCCATGCCATATCTTCAAACATCTAAAAAAAGTAGAGCATTGTCCACATTACTGGATATTAAGTCACAGAAATGTGGACTGCGGCACACAATATTCTCTGTCATCGGAAATGAATACACTGGAGAGTGGCAAGACAACAAAAAGCACGGTGAGATTCCTCTGATGTGAGCTTCTACTTAACTACATGGACATTTATGAACCACTGTTTATGGAGCATGACACACTTTGACCACACTAGATAACTTATTTGCTTATTTGTTTGAAAGGGAAGGGAACTCAGGTCTGGAAAAAGTCTGGTGCCATTTATCATGGAGAGTGGAAATTTGGAAAACCTGATGGATATGGTACCTACAGTGTACTGATCCCAGAAACAAAGGAGTTGGCAAAGAAGTACTGTGGTGAATGGAAACATGGAAAGAAGCATGTATGTATTCTATACAGTGTTCATGCACAATCTATCAGATGTATTCACGCTCTGAGATATGTTATGCATTCTTTTCTATCTTTTCAGGGGTATGGGATGTACCTCTACAATAACTCAGCAGTTTATGAAGGGGAGTGGGGTGAGAACCATCGGAGTGGATGGGGAAGGATGTACTACGAGAGCAGAGATATCTATGAGGGAGAGTGGATGAAGGATAAGAACCATGGACAGGGCATCATCCGATGTGGTAAGAGCACTGGGTTCACACATACATTGTTAAAATCTTAAATAGATTACATTATAGTTGGTCAAGATGGTGGATTTTTAAATGGTACTTTCGGACTTGTTTCCAAGCAAATGGAAACTGGTATGAAGGCACCTGGGGAGAAGGCAAGAAGAACGGCAATGGAAAGTTTTACTACTCTGACAAAGGCCAGCTCTATGAAGGCATTTGGTTGGATGGAGTAGCAAAATGTGGGACCCTGTCTGATTTTGGGAGGAATGAAGCACCAACACCATCTAAGTGTCAAATTCCACAGGTAAAACATATTCATTGTGATTTGCAGCGATTGCAGGCACTCGCTCCCCACTTATGTCACAAGATTAAACAATCATGGACAACAAATCAAGTTTTCTTTTAACGTTTTATTTTGTATGAACATGTTCTTTCTTTAAGGTACGTCTGGTGGATATGCAGTTGGTTTTAAAGGAATCCGAGGAAGCCTACCTTGAGACGATCAACAGCAAGTTTCCACTCCACAACACACTAACAGAAAACGAGTAAAACAGAAAATAAATGGCATGAAGGCATTTTCAGCTTGTTTTTATTTACACCTTCTGTCCGTTCTTATCTGTGGAGCCAAGCAAAACTTCTGTTGATATTTCAAAAACATAAGGGAAATAATTTAAGTCTTATACCAGGACTATTGGACTGACCAAATATTTAGCATTACTGTGTTTTTCATACACTGAACTCTGACAATGATGGCACCTATCAACATCAAACTACATTAATTTGTACTTCTGAACTATCTCTTCCAATACAGACTGCTAACTCAGATTGATCCCTTCTTCTAAATTGTTGAGATGAAAACCTAAGCTAAATTTTATTTGGATAAGTACCAGAATGATTGAAAAGCACTTCATGGGTACTTAACGAGTCAATGACGAAAGCAACATGCTAATTCAGAATTTAAGAGACAAGTGGAGTGCTCAGACTTTACAAAATGACGCACAGAGAAACACGTGTCCCTAATAATAACAATTACTCCATCAGGACTACTAATTTTCTTTCCTTTCTCTAAAAATATAAATTGTGAAAAGCCAAGAGGATAATTATGACAAATCATCATGAGACAGGGCTGGCTTGGTTAGTTATCCAGCATAGGTGATGGTTAACATGTTACAGTATATCACATTAAGTACATTTTAATATGAAAGGCATTCTAAATCTGATGTGTTTAACTTGCGTAAGTGTTTGAAAGTAAGCGGCAAAGATAACATTCAAAATACAATGTTTTCAAATAGTACATTCAATTTATTTTAGAAATTCTGATTGCCACTTGTCAAAATAGTGTCTGTTTTGACGTCACGTCAGCAAATATATTATACTAATAATACTGTAGTTTTAGGAGCTGTTGAGTCAGTCAACACTAACAGCAAGCATTACATAAAAAGTTGATGGACATTACAATAAATGTACACAGTTAATAAAGAGTAAAGAGTTACCTTGTAGTTTAAAAAAACACAACCAAAAGTGTATTAAATATGAACAGGTTAATACATTCAGCAAGCAGCAGACAGGATTTCAAGTTATGGTTGAAATGTCTCCAGTGTTAAGTCTCCAATTAAGACTTTCAATTTTCACAATACAATGTCTTTCATCACATGGTCCAAACAATCATAAGTATAACGGAAACAATTTAGAGACGGCTTCCGCTTTACAAGTGAGAGGAATAGAAAGAGAACAGGAAACAACTTTTTTTATATAGGATTGAAAATAAATGTTGATTGTCTGTTCAAACGAAAATGTGTCTTGTATCACATGGTCCAAACAATCAACAGAATAACATAAAACAATTGAAATAACTTCCCGTGCGTCACGGCAGATTTGTGAGTTCACAGTTGATCCAACGTGTTTCCTAAAAGTATTTTTAAGTAAGTTAATTTACAATAAAGAGGTAAGATATCTTTATTCCCGAAAGAAAAAAAGAAGTCAATAATGTGGCTTCTGTCTTAGTGATATCCCATGCAGACTAGAGTTCCATGGACACATATCCACCATACTTCACTATGGGAAATGTGAGCTTGGGGACTGCAGGATGGAACACTCCCCTCTGTTGTCCAGCTCGTTTTGTAGCCTGGTGAGATTAGAAAGCTCTTCCAGCTCCTGAAACTGTCTGTCCGTCTTATGGCTTACCAAGGAGCGGTAGAAATGCACCGCAAAGACTATGAAGATTAAACCAAAGGGGACCATGATAGATGTGGAGGTAATAGCAGCAGCCACACCAGCTGAAACTGTACTATTGCTGGACTTGTTGGGCTTAACAGGTAAAAATTTGACCCAGCAAAGTAAAACAACCTCGGCTAGGAAGAGTAATGTACCTATTACTGTCGAGAAAGCCCACGCCAGTTCAATGTGTCGGTGCATTCGCACGTGTGGCGACTCGTGCACAGAGTTGAGGTTGTGGACATTGCTGACAGCCTCTATATTGGGCAGAATGCAGGTGCTGACCATCAGAGCGAACAGGTGAACAGCTACAAGCACAGTGGTGCAGGCACTGAAGGCAATGAGGAGAGCAGGGGGGTAAGGGTAGCTGTTGTCCAGCTGCACTTCTACCATGGCCACCTGGAAAGAAGGAATAGAAGAGGAAACAGCTTTATTATACGAGATAAGTTAAAAACACAGGACTCCAAGTTATTGCTCAGATGCCTCCTGTGTAAGAGCAAATAAAGCATTTAAAATTCCCAGTCACAAACAATCAACAGTATAATATACATTCATGAACACGATAAAGAGGTATCGATCTAGATCCCTCCGCTTCGCGTCGGGCTCCTGATCTGCCTGTCGGTGTTCTTTTACCCATAATGACCGCGTCGCTGCACATTATCCCTTACTTATTTTATAGAGCATCGAGTGCATTACAGCAGATTTGTGAGTGAGAAGGAATAGTAAGAGAACAGGAAAACAACTTCATCACATGAGATAGTATAGAAACTCTATTGTCCATTCACACAACATGTGTCTTCTATCACATGGTCATAACAATCATCAGAATACCATCTTTACCAACTATTTAAAGAACATCTGAATGGTCACCCTCTAGCTATTCAAAATTGTACATATGTAGCTATAAAGTAAAAAAGCATAAGCAATACAACATATATTTAAAGAATCATAGTAAAAGTACTCAGCATACATAATGGTCCATTTCAGATAACACAATAAAAAGGTGGAGCTTAACAGTTGTATCTTAATCTTCATTTGTTGTTTTGTACTAAAAATCTAAATCTGCAAAGTAACTAGTACATTAATGTATCTTATGAATGTAGTGGAGTAAAAGTGTAAAATTTCCCACTGAAATAACATGGATTAGAAGTAAAAAGTAGCATAAAGATGGAAATTCTCATGTTTAGTACCTCAAAATTGTAACTTAGTAAAGTGCTTGAGTAAATGTTTTTACTTTACACCACTGCATTCATAAATTATAGATTATTTTGAGCAAAAGGAGTTCAGACTTTTGCTGTGATTTAACTACAGAAGAGTAAGAGTATGTTTTTAAGACATACAGTATGTTACCGTGGCAAAACCAGAAAGCAGTCAGCCTCACTTTAATGATGCAGCAGGTAAAGGTGGGGCTTATTTCTCACTATATATACTGCTGTAAAGCTTGTCTATTCACCAAGGGTTTGAGTGTTATCTTCATCCATAATTGATTTATGCATTATATTTTGGAATAATCATAATATGCATACTAGTAACTTCATGTTTCAAATACATTAAGTGCAGAAAAACAAAACAAAATCCCCCTGAAATGTAGTGGAGAAGAAACTAGTAGCATTCAGATGTAAATACTCAACACAAGTACAAGTAGCTTACCTCAAATTGTATTACAGTACTTGAGCAAATGTAGTTACTTTCCACGACAAACACATGTGCTCAGCATAAGGATACATGCCTGCTAAATCTACAAGTAGGAAGATGTTTGGGAGACATATGTTACCATAGCAAATCCAGAAAGCAGAGCTGATGTCCGGCTGGAAGCCTTCAGCTTGGCTCGGCTGAGGTACAGCTTCCTCCAGGACAGCGCAAGCAGTGAATGCTCGTCCAGACTCATGTCGCTCCTCTTGTAAGCAAAGGAAGAGCTGCAGCGCTGGCGTAGTTACCTCGCTCGTTACCTAACCTTGTTACGACAAAAACAAGCGTTCAACATGCCAACAGCGTACACTTACTAAACCTTCAACCTCGCCAGCTGACGGAACTGCGGAAGCTATTTTTTCACCAGCAGTCCTCCCTCCGTGCTCAGCGTGCTGTGCCGCCTGCACCTTACATTACCCAGAAGCCTGCGCGTTTGAGGCGAACTTCCGGTTGCATTCCCTCTGCTAAGCTATCAAAAATCAGCCCTTAGTTAATTCTCGAATAATTACCACGTTCAATGTGTAGTTATTGTCAGATATTATGTTTTTGTCAATTTAAAATAACTCCTTCTGCAGCCCACGTGACACACACCATGCATATTAATTATTACAGAATGACTGAAAAATAGATAAAGAGATGCTTTTTCGATTATAAACTAGATACGTTATCTATTTAAAGCTATGGTAGAAGATTAAACTGTCCAATAGTAGTGGTTAAAATATATATTTTATTTAAGCCAGAAACAACCAGTGATTTATCTGATGTGATAAATAGTGTTTCATCTTTGTTTGTCACCCCAGCTGCCTGTAAAGCTGTGAACTACTAACACGCCGTGACGTTGTCCAACAATGTTTTGGTTCCTGGCGGTGACGTAACACACAAAAACATGGTTCCCTTGTTTTGAACCTGAAAAAGCGTGCTAAGTGTTTCTCTAACTTCACTACGCATGAAGAAGATGCATTTCCGAAACCGAGTGACTGGATCACACTGATAAGAGAATATGGCCCAGGCCGTGGAAACGTGTGCCGAATCCGGACGCAGGCTGGTGTGTACCATCGTTATCTTGGGGAGCGAGATTGGCAGCAAGCTAATTAGTGAGCTAAGCTAACGTTTGTAAACGCTGGGATGCATCAAGTCACAAGTTAGAGGCAATGAGGAGGAAAAGATAGTTCTCCCGCATTTTAGACCTTACAACTTATTGTATATTTGTAATAGATCAGCGTACAAGATAATACAGCATCTACAACAGTGAAATATTGTAAACATTATAGATGTATGTTGTGGAATAACGTACCAACTGCTGTCTTTTCCCTGGACAAGTGTCGTTCAACGGTTATCGTGCTTGACGTCACATTTTAGAAAATGCGTTTTTAATACATATTAAAAAAGGGGGAAATAATATAAAAAAGGGAATATGACCCCTTACTACAGTTTTCAAGTTTTGATGGCAAATATATACATAATTCAATAGTAGCTCAATGTTTATATTTACTTTATTACTATTCAGTTGTTAAACAACAGTGCACACATTCCGTGTGTACTAATACCTGGCAAATAAAAGCTGACCCTGGATTAAATAAATGTTCAACCATGATGTATGGTGGTTTATTATAGAGACAGGGGGGAGTTACCATAGAAAGAGTCTGCTGTGTTAGTTGTGTCATGTAAATCTTCACTCTGTTTCCAATGGCAGCGCTCCATCTGCCGGAGGATGTACGATGAAAACGAGGATCTATCCGATGTGGAAGAAATTGCAAACATCAGAGGTTTCAGTGTGGAGGAAAAGCTGGTCAGTGACAGTTACAGCGCCTCATTTGTGCTCTGCATGGAGGGTAAAGGTAATATAACACAAAGCATTTTTTAATATAATCTATTGTTACTCTTTGTTTTTTTAATATTTAGCTGTAATATGGCAGGAAATATGCACGTCTTAACCAAAATATGTGTGTTTTACTTTAAAAACCTTTTTCCAATGCAGACTTCTCTTATGAATATGTGCAAAAGGACGCTCTCAGGACCCCACTCATTTTTAAAGAGAAAGATGGGCTTGGGATCAGGTGAGAAGACATTTATCTGGAATATCAGTTTACATAAAACTTTAAAGATTTATCTTTTGAGGAGCTTGTGGTTTTGAACGGTACCCACTCTTTATTTGATGTATATTTATGTATTTAATCAATTGCAGGACTTAGCTCATTAACGGATTGACATACATTTATCTTTTTCATAGAATGCCGGATCCAGAATTTACAGTCAGTGAAATTAAAGGATTAGTTGGTAAGTAGGATGCTATATACACAAACACTCACAAAATAAAATGTATGCATATTTGGAATAGGAAAGTAAGAGGAAATGTTTTTAATAGTCAAAGCTTTAGTTTAAACTTTAATTTTCTATAAAATAAAAAGTTATATAAATGTTTTGTACGCTGTCTACTATAGTTTTTTTTAGAAAGAAGGAAACATGTAATTGGCAGGTCGGACTTTAAAGAATAAAGGGAATTCAGAGAGGTATTTCATGTATTAATTATCTTATTTTATGTAAAGATAAGAGAATGTGACATTTTTCATATTGCAATGTTCTTCTTTATTAATACACAGTTTAGCTATATAAAGTGAAGCCTGAAAGAAATGAACATGATTGGGGCTTAGTTGCGCCATCTTGTGGGGGAGATGATGAATTACATGAATTAGGAGCCACTTATTCATGATATCTGAGATCTGTGACATGTCAACGATATACATTGTCTGTATAAATCTCATAATACCATGCAAGACTGTGGACACACATATAGACAGATGTTATTTCATGTGATTGACAGTGAAAGTGCTCAAAGGTTATGGGTGTCCTGGGTGTTGTTGCAGGCAGTCGGCGCTCCGTGGATGTGATGGATGTGAGCACTCAGAAAGGCTCTGAGATGAGCATGGCTCAGTTTGTGCGTTATTATGAGACACCAGAGGAAGAGCGGGAAAAACTCTTCAACGTCATCAGCTTAGAGTTCAGCCACACTAAGCTGGAAAACCTCATCAAGCGGCCCACAGTGGTAATATAACACGCTCTGTATAATATTATAAAAGGTCAATAAAATCTGGGGCTTGTATTTCAAGATTGTACGATGTGATTGATGGTTAAAGGTGCAGTTTTGCTCTCTCAGGTGGATCAAGTGGACTGGGTGGACAACACGTGGCCACCTGATCTGAAACAGAGCCAAACAGAAGCCACCAATGTAATCTCAGACATGAAGTATCCTAAAGTGCAAAGGTATGACTTTACTTCATTGTGTTTCTGTCCTCACAAAAACCTCTCCTGAACTATGAGTAAAACAAACATCTAAACCAATTTACAGAAAATACTTCAAGAAAATGGCTTCTTGGCAGTAAATGTGATTTCTCCCCCCATCTGAATGTCTCATGTATCGCTCTATTATTGTAGAGTGCTGCATACAGTCGGTGCTATCCATCTCCTGTAAGTGCTCCTGATTGTTGCTAGGCAGCACAGTTTTCCACAGTGGAGGATGGTGGTTTTAGAACAGCTGTAGTGTGACTGCGCAGACACCTCTCAGCCAATCAGCTGTCAGCATTTGTACATACTAAGAGTCAACAGCTTATTTTTAACCTAAGTTCCTTACATTTCATGCAATTAAACAGAGACATTTACCCAATTGTCTACCCCTTTATACCTATTCTGACTTTTATCAATTATGTTGATATTTATAAATTCTAAATTATGATTAAATAAAGCACCCAAAAATTCTGAAGGCTGTTTATCTTGATGCAATAATAGGAAACGTGTTCTTGGTCGCTGTAGCTTTCAAGCAAAGCTATCTAGCATAATGTTACCATTCGGTACCCTATCAGGCTGAGTTTTACATTAGCTGGGCGATTTTTGACTTGTTTTCCGCTGCTTATGAGCTCTCCATTCAAAAACAATAATTTGTGCGATGAATGACATGTTTTTTTTTTTATATACACACCGTTATGGAAAAAATAAAGAAGAGTGGCTCAGATTAAGCTAAATTACTGATTCATTTATGTCTTGGAGTGCTAATCATTCCTTAATTAATTGTCCCATTGGGAACCATTTACTATACTCTAGTGCTCTTGTGAGTGATTTCTATTGGTGTTTTCCATTAGTAGCTGTAGATTTCAGTTAAACACACCTGATGCTTTCCAATTGGTTGAGCTTTCTTTTTCATATTTAGATCTTTAGATCTGTTTTACTTATCTAACTTTAACCATTGGCTTGTCTTGTAAAATGTAATTGTATTTAATTATGGTTATCTCTTTTTCTGCTATAGGTATTGTTTGATGAGTGTAAAGGGCTGCTATACAGACTTCCACATTGATTTCGGTGGAACCTCTGTTTGGTATCACGTATTCAAAGGACAAAAAGTACGTTCATTTCCGTCTCTTATATATGAATATATAATAAATAAGGACTTGGTATTAAAATATACTAGGTTATTCTTTTGGAAACATGTATGATGTTCAGATACAGAGAAATGTATGCCATACTAAGTCATTATTTCAAGATTCTTTGTCTTTATTTGTGGTACTAAGTCATTGTTTGTTTTACTTTATAATGACCTACGGGATCTTCTTTTTTCAATACAAGGCTAAGTTTTAATTTGATTTTTTTGGAGGAAATGGGAGTTCTTTACTATACAATATCAATTTATTTTACAACATATATTCATTTATTGGTTTACCTTTCATTTTGACAATAAGAGGAGAAATGAAGGACAGGTATTTCTGGTCAGAGTGGATAGCTAAACCTCTAAACAAAACACACTCTGCTTCTCCTCAGGTGTTTTGGCTTGTGCCTCCGACCCCTCATAACCTTGCCCTTTATGAGGACTGGGTCCTGTCAGGCAAGCAGAGTGATATCTTCCTGGGAGACCGAGCTGACGGATGCCAGAGAGTGGAGCTTAAGCAAGGATACACCTTCTTCATCCCATCTGGTGTGTTGGCATGGTGGTTTTAAAGAAGTCAGCAGGAAAGATTAGCTGCCCCTTCAATGGACAGTGATGCCAAACCTTACCTGAATACCATATTTGCATGGATCCTGTGTGTTCCTTATCTCTTTTGTTATTTCTGTTAATAAGGGTGGATCCATGCTGTCTACACTCCAGAGGACTCACTGGTGTTTGGAGGCAATATTCTGCACAGCTTCAACATTCCTATGCAGCTTACCATCCACGAGATAGAGAATAGGACTAAGGTAGGAGTCTGTCTGCATTCTCCATTGTGTAGCTGAACTGTGGCCTGCACCGAATTATAAAGTGATCTCTACCAGGATAAATCTATCTCTCTGAGAAGCAGGGGAAGAGTTCATGGATATAGACAGGAGAATAAAAGTTGTGATGGAGGAGGAAACGGTTGAGATTGAAAAAGAGATAAGGGTAAAGAGTCAAGGGAGAAATATTTGTGAGTGAAAGAAAAT